AAATAAATGCAAATATACATACATTTATAAATAAATAATAAAACCAATACATGTATATGAATATCGTAAACAACTATATATTGTTACACCTATAAATAAACAATTTCTAAAATACGTAAGCAGTTCAAGTCACACTAAAGTTAGGTAGTGTTCTTTTACCATATTTTTGAATATATTCAATGATTTCGCTTGTTGAATAAACAAAGGTAGATTGTTCCACAAACGAATAGTCTGAACAGTAAAGGACTTGTCGTAATACCTGGAGGTATGCAATAGTTGAAGATGAGCGCAGAAGTCGGGGGTTGGATTGCTGGGCGAATTCAAATCGCTCCTTAAGATAAGGTGGTGTGTGAGGAATGAATAAGATGCCGTAAAGAAGATTAAGAATATGAGCATTCCGGCGAAGTTTAATGGATAACCACTTCAGCTCCTTGCGATAAATGGAAACATGATAAAATTTCCACAGACCATAAATGAAACGGTTGCAAAAGTTTTGAAGACTTTCGAGTTTGTTGAGCTGTTCTTCCGTTAAATCCAGATAGCAGGCATCAGCATAATCAAGAATTGGAAGAAGAAGAGTTTGGGCAAGCGCAATTTTCGAGGCAATAGATAAGAAATTGCGTAACCGTCTGAGAGATGCGGCAGACGCAAATAATTCGCGGCTGGTCTCAACTAATTGAGGTGCCCAAGATAGCTGCCTATCAATGAGTATACCCAGATTTTTTACATTGTCACTAATTTTAATGTAAGTGTCGTCTACATTAACGTGCGGCAAGCGAAACCAATCTGTATTGGATACCATTCTAGAGGAAGAGGACGTAACATTTTTACATTTTTTTTGCCTAGGTGAGATTCTAAATGTTTGAAACCCCTATCGGCTAAGACTGTACAGTTTTCTGGCACCGTTTCTAAAAACCCACTTTGCGCCACTAAGTTGATGCGCGCTATGCGACCACCGTAACTTTCAGATACGAAATTTATAAAGCCATCAGGAGTTGAACTTATTAGATATTTAATAGTGTTGCAATTTTTATATTGAGACCAATTCAACGATTGTTCTGTTGGCTTCTTAGGTTTTTCGATTTCAATTTCAAAGCAGTCAATAATTAATAGAACTTCAGCATAAGCAGCGTTTGTTCTAAACACCAATGGTAATTTTTATATCATTTAATTTTGGCTAGAAGATAAATGGATTGAAAAATGCCAGGAGAATGGGTAAAATTCGGATATACATATATGCGCCATATTGTAACTTTTAACTTTTATTTCAAAAGTATCACCAATTTTTTCGAATGTATCGGTTATTTCTTATTTTAAATAGTGTTAATAAAATAAGTAATGGACAAACACAACACTTTTTTTCAAGAAACTTAATAATCCAGTATAATTTTTTTGATAACCCAATGTAAGTCATAGGCTTTTCATAATTATACTTTACATAAACTGTCTTCCTGGTAATTGCTTTTTAAGTGAGGAAACATTCATTGAACTTTCAGATTCTGAAATTTCAGTTGTGCTACAGTCTGATAATCAGAGAAAAGTTCTGCATCAAATTCTTGAAAGATCTTATTTAGATCCAAATAAATAGGTTTTTTCGTCTTCTTCAAAGGCTTGTCAGTTGCAATGCAGCGGTTAGTTGTTTTGTGTTTTTGGTTTAATTTAGACATGTTTATGTCGTGTTTCAGGTTGACACATAGTGCTTTTATCATTCAGTTTTGTTGTATGTCATGTGACACTCGTGCTAGCTATTAGTTCTTCTCCAGTATTTAATAAAATATTTCTCAATTTTGGAACCTCAGTCTTCAATTTCCCATAGGCACTTTTTGATATTAATTCATTGTAATTCGTCGTAACATCGTCTAACTGAAAAAAAAAAGTTTACAAAATTGGTTAAACTGATTTTTAACCGACTTCAAAAAAGGAGGAAGTTCAGAATTCGACTGTATTTTTTGTTTATATGTGATCCGATTTTGATGACTATTTTTTTGTTGAATTAAATAGCTATTAAAAATTAATTAAATGTAAAGTATTTGGGTACTTGCATTTAAATGATCTTCACGTATATACTTCACGTGATCCGAAACCTCCGACTTACCCACAGCAACACACCATTCCTTCTTATTATAGTCAGGAACGCGGAAAAAATGTTTACCTGTTGAGGTTATAACTTTATTTTTACACTTGGGCACAAAACATGAAGTAATAGGGTCTCGATTAAAACTTAGTCGTCTTAAGTCTTCATTCATTTCGGCTGCTGTAAACCATGAAATGAAAACCAGGAGAAAACTATCGAAAATTACTGAAAACTTGTAATCAATAACTAATTCAAAAGCAATGTCTCACTCTCACTGTCACAACTCTTAACAGTCAGCCGTTGACGTATGCACGTTTAAAAATCAAGCAATAAAAGAAAAAATACAGCAAAGCAATTTAGTGCTTTAAATCCTTTGCCGTTCATTTTTGACTACTTTTGTAAATATCACATAATTTAGTGAATAATAAATTCTGAAAAAAAAATCCAGTTCAGGACAACCAAGTCTCTAAATGGTTTCTTAATTTTATACTATTATCAATTTGAAATGTTGTCAATTTAAACAAATAAGATGTTTGTAAGTAAATATAAGTTTTAATGACCAACGACTTACGTCACAAAGCACATAAATATTAAATGAATATACAACCTCTTTCAACAGTAAATTAAAAAAAAATGGAAAAGTAAAAAGAACTAGTGCAAAAAATCCAAATTTCGGCACGATTTGTAGTATGAAAAATACCACGTTTTGATTACCACGATTACCACGTTTGTATTAAAAATAACTATTCTGATGCTATGTTATGTTATGTTATGTGTGTATATTATGTTATGATATATCTGATATGATAATGAATCAGAAGTATTGATAGGTCTCTTTAATGCACGTCGTCTAAAACACTGGGTCGCAAAATACACGGGTTGTCGACATCCTTCTTTACAAAAACGCTAAATCAACCTCGAATTTCACTATTTAACAAGCCTGCATTAGTAGAAAATTGAAACAAATGAATAAAAAAAATTAGAGTTGATCAATTTTTTTATTTATAAACAATTTTTTAGTATTATGTATTGGTCCCAGTGTGCGTATTAATACGACCTGACTTTTGTACAAAAAAAAAATCGCTGCTATAGTTTGGGGATTGTACTAGTGTTCCGCTAAATTTACGTCGTGTGTAATATTAAATTCAAACAGTGCTTATTACGATTATGGAAATTACTGTCAATTAACCATTTTTAGCAAAACGTAAAGCTATGGTAATCTAATTGTTTGACCTGCCGCCTCTCAAGTAGGGGTCGTGGGTTCGAATCACCTTAGAATTTCCGGAATTTATGTGCGAAATTTAATTTGAAGTTTACCATGAGCTTTTCAGTGAAGGAAAACATCGTATGAAACCTGCACGATTTACAACCCTCGGAAAACGTGTGAAGTCCTCAATCAAATGGGCCTAAACCCTCGCCTGAGGAGGATACCTGTCCCAGCAGTGGGATGTATAAAAGAGTTGATGATGGCCATTTTTAAAAAAGAAACCCTTGATTAGATTTGATTTGATTCTGTCACACATTCTAACAGTTGCTGTTGCATAACAAGACGGTTCTTTGAACTTTTTTAAATTAATCGACATGTTGAATAAGCATTTTTTCTATTTTTTTTCCACTTCTCATATTATTGCTACGTGCATTGAGTTACAATCATTGACTTACAATTATATGGACGTCGGGTCCGCGCTAAAAAGTGTCCGCACTTGTAAGGCGCTAAAATCGTATACAGAGCGCGACACTCCGCTTTAGTCTTCATTTGTTCTACGGACAGCGCGATACTGTTTGTTAATGACATAACAATTTAAATTTCGAATAGGTTGACTTGGGAAATTTTTTTCGTGGTTTTTGTATTAGACCCGTCGTCCATTTATTTGTAAGTCAATGGTTACAATATACATTTTTTGCAACTGTATATAATCGTAATAAACAGTAATGAGAAAAGAAGAAACACTTATATATTTTTTATTATAAAGTTGGATGGTGTCGATATACTTCTAGAGCTGGTTGATATCAAGCCATGCCTAATCATTTGGTTCATGGCATGGTATGTAGGTATCTGTTAAAAGGTTTTTGATATCTCTTGTATTTACGGAATAATCGCTGGGCACACTTGACGATTACACCCTGAGTACTTTTTATTAGACATGAGTTTCCTTCTATATATGGTATCGGGTCACACCAGGTAATACGCAATTTACGTTACATTAATTTTGCAATAGGTAACAGGTAAAAAAGGACGGCCAAGCATTATTATGTACTTTGATATACGACGATAGGGTGGATAAAAAATATTATATATGGGCCTGAACAGTACCGCGTCACACTTACTTACGGACCGACCTACTACGAGCACCTACCTGCCGAACTAATAAATGAATGTTGTGAGGAGACGTTCAGGCGCAAACTGAGGAACCTTCTATTGGAAAAGTCCTTTTACTCAGTGACAGAGTACATTCAACGTACTATATAAACAATGAAATTATTATATTCATTAATGAATTTGACATTCACCGTATTCTTATACTTTGATTTTAATTTTTTTTATGATACCAAGTGCCGGGACATTATTAGTAATTAAGAATCCATATTGACATTTTCCTCTATGTAGTACCTACACTTGACGTTGTTAGTTTTAATTCAATTATTTATTACTTTAATTAATTATCCTGATTTGTATGTGTACAGTATTATGTACTGTGACTTACTATTATATAATTATTTCTCATTATTTTGTAAACTTACGTTCACTTTTCGAAGCGTAGTATAAAATGACATGTAATTGTATGTGTATGAAATTTCTAATCTTGACAGAAATAAATTAAACTAACTCAATATGTAGTACTTTTTGCTTTGGTTTAATTAAAAATGAAAGAAAGGACATCAGATATTCAGAATTGGAATATAGACGAATAATGTTTAATTGCAGGCGGGTAGTCCTATCTACAACACGGCTGCAGGGATGTGCTTGGGTGTCGAACGTGCCTACCGCGCAGAACAGCTGCTCCTGGTCATCTGCGATAGCCAACCTACTAACAAGTGGGACTTTGTCCGCTCTTAATTGTCCAACGGAAACAGGGTATCTATTAATTGATCAATTCTGCGTTGACAGAGTACACAATAATTAATAATAACTTCGAGTAAGTAAAGTATATAGCTTGGGCCTTTTCACAGCGAGATAGAATTGGTACTTTATAGGCAAGTATGCTCCAAGTTTGACCATACCGTCACTTTCCATCGGACTGGTAATAAGGAATCGGACAACTTTTCTGAAAATATTTAAAATTAACATATACGGGGATATCATGCATATACAGCTCTTACAGTTATTTGTTAAATTTTATCAACTTCGCAAGACTTTATTAATAAGATCATAAACAACAACTTTTGTTCCATGTTTTTTTCAAAACATAATAAAACCAAAAACAAAGTTTTAATTTTTTGTTGTACTATCTAGATCTGTATTTGGTAATAAGGTTGTAAGTTCAAATATGCAACCGTCCTCCCTGACGACCCCATCATCGCTACTGTGTTTTGCTTCGTACCGTTGACAGAGTTATGAGTTTATGACTGTTTAGAGCGATATATTTAAATATTTTAATTTTTTGTACGAATGTCAAATCTGACGAATTATTAACTCGAGGACCAAAAGCTGTTGCTTATGATGTTAGTTACACAGGCATGTTAGGTTGTTACGATTTTACATATAACCCTGTACTTATACAGATAGGAAAAATATTATTTCATTGAAATAAAACTTCAAGTTCTCAGAACTTCGTTTGAGAATTGAACTTAGAACGAGTGACGTCATTGGTAGGTAAACATGCTATAACTCGTCAGTTGCAAGAATTTTACGCGTTGATTGACTACTACTGTCCTTAATGCAAAATTTGTAGTTTTAAAAAGTGTTTAAGCGGAGAAAAAGCACAAGATAATACTATAATACTCTACCAGTGAATACGGTGATGTTTCTTTGTTTACCTACATATGTCATGTGGTGTGTTTCGTGTTTGCATTTTTACAGATTTTTTTCTTGATTTAAAACTACAAATCATTTCACAAAAATGTTCAGTGTCAAAATATTCATCATCATTCTTCCCAACTACATTTTAGATGTTTTCTAATTATTTTCTGATTATTTATTGTCAAATGCTTGCCTAAATCTCCTTAAACAAACATTCTTACATTGCCACGTTTTTATAAATATATTGTCAATTTTGTTAGTTATTTTATAATTCAGGAGTCTTATTCTGTCGTGTATGTTGTATGTCTTTCAATTACTTAAATGAACAGCAGTACCATGTCTAAGGAATTTTAGTTCACACCCACGCACGCACATACCCAAACTGGTTTCATATAAATGGTGACCCCCTCGAAAATCGAGCAAAAATAACGAGACAATTATCCGAGAAATTACTTTGTGCACTCGAATTTGTTTATTTTTTAGGAGTCTGCGAACTGCCACAGACTTACTGAGGACCGGGCATTACAATTGCTGGCATGGCGAACTGAGTCTTATGTGGGTTTGTACCGCTTCAGGACGCCCACGACGCGGTCGCAGTCGCATATGAAGGCTTCTCTTTTATATTTCGCCTTATATAAGTGTACCATTGCGAAGCTGTTTATTGGAAACCATATGTGTATGTGTACAAGGTGTCGTAAGGAATCTCTTAATGTTTAACTCGAGCTGTAATTGACATTTCTAGCTTAGATCACTGCTTTTGATCTAAACTTAATGATTTTTAAAATCAATAATAGCTTTATAAGCGGCTTTTGATAAGTGAATTTACATGTTTTTACAATTCAAGATTTTTAAAAATTTCCTAGTTTTGGCTGTTAACTCGAATGAACGAAATCTCGTTATATACAACAGGATTAACTCTTCTCCACTATAAGCTATTCATTATCGTTTACAAAGTGCCGCACAGGTGCCTCAGTTCAAATGAAAAAGATTGATCGATGTAGACATTTTTATACACTATTTATTATTGTTGATTTAAAGCGAATAGCGAATAGTAGATTAGGATATACGTTATAGCTTTTTGAAATATTATTGAATTTTTCTTGTTAACTTTTATAGGGCAGCTATAAATTGTAGGAATAGATCATGCAGTATTATTTATTTAATTTGAAAAAGTTGTTTTATGAATCTCGGAAACATTTGAATAATTTTGTTACTTTTGTGTTTACTAAATATTACTGACGCTGGCGCACGATCGAATCTTGAGTTGTATTGTGGTGTTGTAGGATACCGTAGATAACCTATATTTACCGAAGCGAAGACTACATAAAATTCATGGTTAGGTTCGAAAGTGACTTTGGACCTTCAAATGGTGTGTATTGACTACTAATGTTCGTTGTAAATAAAAGAAATTAGTTCTTTGAATTTCCCCGTGGCGATGGTCCACGACTCATTTGTCAGTTATACGTCGGCTAAATTCGAAAACCTCGTAACCTCCATTAATGTCAAATTTTGAGTAGGCTCAAAAACAGAATTACTAGAAATCGTAGAGGAAGAATTGGGTAGAGGGGCTCTGTAAATAATAAAAACCGTATAAGCGAGATAGATTTATGCACAGATATATCAGAGTAAACGAGAAAACAATATTATTTTTTGTCCCTTTCTACGTATGCGGTTTTGGTTGTATGACTCAACACTCGTTAAGTCCAGCAAATCCTTCCAAGTGTTTGATGTGCATAATTTTATGTGTTTGTAATATGTGTTTTACAAAGTTACTAACCGTTCCTTTGTAGTAATTGACAATAATTGCATCTCATAGTAACGGTGCATTATTATATTTTAGGCTGTAAAAGCCGTACGGGACGAAAAATTCCCAATATAACCTTTCACACGTAAGTTTTAATTTTTTATTACTATCATTGAATTTTCTTGTATGAATTACTAGTGAAATACTCTTACAAGCCTGGAATATTACAATTTCATGTATTTTATATGATGTTTGAAGTGTTTTTCTTAATTGAAAGATTTTTGTTTGCATCGTATAAACCTCTTAAAATAAGGAGAATATCTTATGTCAAATATGTCCATCTCGCTTCTACCAGCAGTAGTTACGATAAGCGAGAAAGAGAGATCAAATAAATAGCGTATAAATTAAATTAGACAGGCTTAAGCTGATTTTAGGGATACCGTGCTTTTGCCACTATCTTTTCCCCAATTTATGGGTTACTTTACAATACTTTTTCAGTTCGAAATAGGTATACTAAGTTAATACTGTTCAAGGGCCAATAAAAAAGTAATGATTTGTCAGAATTGTTTTATTTGGTTATTAAAACTCAACCAAGCTAAATGTGGTCTGGCGAATTCTCCTTCCTTAGACTCGGCAAATTTCATCATTATCATGAACCCATTTATACGTCCCACTGCTGGGCACGGGTCTCCTCTCAGGCGAGTGCTTAGGCGACAGTCCACCACACTGGCCCAATGAGGGTTGGGGACTGCACACGTTTTCCGAGGACTTTGAACCTTCTTCAACGTTTCATCACGATGTTTTCCTTCACCGAAAAGCTCGTGATAAATTTCAAATTAAATTTCGCACAAATTCCGAGAAACTCAGAGGTGCGAGTCTGGATTCGAACCCACGACCCTCTGCTTGAGAGGCAGTAGGTTAAACCATTAGGCTACTACGGCTTCATTTTCATTTCATTTCTTTAATACGCGAGAAGCTTCTCTATTCTCTTTTTTATTCTCCCTCTACGCTAGAAATAATTACATGACATCTACGACATTGTATTTTACAACAAAAAGAAGCTCTGCAAATTACATTTTAGGCTTTAATTGCCCGATATTACGCTTGAAGAGTAAAAAAGGAATTTCATCCAGAAACGGACTTACGAAGGTTTCAAATTTAGCCGACGACATGTAAAGCTAACCGATTTCAGTCTTTACTTTATTGTAAATAACATTGTTTAGTATAAAGATTTGAGTTAGTGAGTAAGATAGTTGGTAGAAACGGAACCGATACCGGAATCTTTATTCATAAGCAACGTGTTGGTGATTTAAATTAAACATTCCAAATTATACTTTTTATGGAGGCCTTATGTAGGCAGTGTCATTGTCAAAGAGCTATTACATTTTTTATTGTTTTTAAACTTTTTAGAAATTTTTATGGTGCGAAAGGAACAATTATTTTGTTAGTAGACAATATTATAAATAATTAGTTTGTATGACTACAGGTTAGGTCTAATTGAGATTTTGCATTTTTGGATTATTATATATCTTTTTGATGTATAAAGCGCAAAATTTTTTTATCAACAAACAGTGTGGTAGCAATAAACATTGTTTTACGAGTACAAATGGTGGCATAGTCGTAAACTTGTAGTCAGTCGGTAGTGGGAGCTCGACGAGGTTTGGTAGTGCCATGGTCAGCCATTTTGTGTCTAAGGCTCAATTTATATTGCGGCGGAACGAAATGGAAGCGAATTTTTGTAACGATGTTGTACATAGGATAATGAATTTTATGGTCAATTTTGTAACGTAGAAACTAGATAAGAGCCAAAATCTTCCGCGGAATGCGCGATCGCGCACGCGCGAACTACAATACAATATCGTTCCAAAAATTCGCTTCCATTCCGTTCCGCCGCAATATAAATTAAGCCAAAGTGAGCAATATATTGTATCTACTAAACAGATATACTAACACCTCCTTATTAACGAAATAAATTCAGCTTTTCCATAGAAAATATTCTGAGATACTGAATCAAAACGTATGGAACAATTGATATATTTTCAGAATATGAGCGGGGTATCCATATTTGTGAAGGTTGTATGTTAATTGTCTCGGTTTTACTCATAATTTAATTCAATTTCGAGCTATATATCATATCTGTGTGTGCTATATGTAACTGCCTCCGTGGCCGAATAGTTACCATGCCGGACTGCTACGCAGAGGTCTCAGGTTCGATTTCCGGGCCGGGAGAAATATTTGTATGGCCTACATTTATTTCTCTCGTGAGTTTGGGTGTAATTTGTGGTTGTCTTGTGTGTGTTCATGGCACCCGCGACACAGGGTTTCCCTAGTGCGTGGCTATGTTGAGTGTGTACGTTATTATTATTATATACATTGTCCAAATTTGATTTTGACAAATTTGATTCAAAGTGTATTCCCATAGCATTTAAGTTTATTTGAAAAGAGCAATCCCTAGAGTTTCTTGCTCGTTCTTCTCAGGGAGGTCAGCGTAGTGAACGAGCAGTAGCTTAACTGTGACGTTTTCAAGTCTAAATTTATTTTACCTATGGAATAAATAATCTTTGACTTTGACTTTGACCTCAGTAGCTGTTATACATATTTTTTGTGTTGTTCAAATAAAAAAAGATTTTAATTTATACTCTTCTTTATCTATTATGTGAACAAAAAGAATCACTGTTTTTTAGAACTCACCCTTTTGGTAAAATTGGCTACATTTCATTGTTCCTATTACCTCCAACGAAACGACCACAAAACATAAAGGGTCGTATTATAGAACTCTACTTAATGCCCAAGTCAGGATTTGAGTATGGTTTAAAGCAGTCGAAATCATACTCAAGTCCCTGCCATTACGGTCGTATTTCCAGTGCTTGAAATCATACTCAGATTCTGACTTGAGCATTGAGTAGAGTTCTGGAATACGACTCTGAATGTCCTTACATATGCATACTCCACGCTCTTTTCTCACCGGGAGACAACAAACAGCCTTGATTGCTTGACTTGCTACGATCTTTACATACATTTCCACCCACATTTACACTCAACAGTGCTTTCATAATGCTCATCGATTAAAGTGCTTTTGACGTGGTCTATCCTTAGGATGTTCTCAATTTGGTCATGGTAAGTTCGCCTTGTTGAGCCCTTACCGACTTGCCCGCGCACTCTCAAATATATTATGTTAAAAGCTAACTAGTAACATTGTGATTATAAATAGAAAAATGTAACGAAGGAATATGTCCATCCGACGACTTGCCAGCCATTTTCCCAAGAGTAACCACAATTTGCATTTTTTTTGACATTGCAAGACGTCTTTATTTTGTATGTATTGTTCGTTGTACTTGACAATATTATTACTTTTCAGTAGAATTCGAAATTAAGAAAACTAAAATTTCTCTTTATTAAAATCTCTGTGTGTAATTTTAGTTGTTTTCATAACCAGAATTATTTAAAAAAGGCTAAAGTTCTCTAAAAAGTTTGTTTAGAGCAGATATAAAGCCTGCATGTAGTTCCCTTTGCAGATACGTGTAGATGATGCAGATCTAAATTAGATCTGATTGAGACAGCCAATAGCACGCGCTTATTCCAATTTTATCGCGCGCGTCGCGACTATCATGCGTAGCCATGCTACGGGCAGTTGTGATTATTTCCTAATTTTAAGACAATTTGTAACTCTCGTATGATTTTAATAGAAGTTTATGTCCTTGGAGTTATAAACATTACAGTTTTCGTCAGTGATTTCTTAGGAAATTCTGATGTAATCAAGTTGATATTTTTTTTGTTTCAGCGTAAATGATAAAATGTATTGCAAATAAATATGTGTAATATAGTGTATGATCTTTCTATGATATTTTTAACATTTAGTTGGATGTTTAAAATAAGTATGATTATTATTAATTCAGACTTCAGATGTGTAAGCGTTGTTAATAATACAGCCAAGAGAATCAATAAATTAGATATCTGTTTGTGACTGTCTTTTTTGATAAAAAGCATACGTACGTATTTTTAATGTTTCTTATTTCTGTATTTATATTCAGTCAATGTATATGCTCGTCACTGTATTCTATACCGTATTGATATTATATATATTACGTGTATTAAAAGAGTAATGAAATTCTAAATTATTGTAAAAAAGTATTGTTGTATGGTACCTGTAATAAAACAGCGTTTTGATATGTTATTCAACATTTATTTTAACATTTAAAATTACATAAAAAGAAGGCATTTTGCCTTAAAAAGTCTTTGATTATTAATCGTATGTAGTACCTACAGAACTGATTTCATTTACATAGTGATATAGTTACGAAAAGTGACGTAAACGTTTAGGGTAGTCTACTAAAAAATCTATTTCTTTTGCCAGTAACCAAAGTAGTACCGGATTGAGCAAAATTAATATGAATCCCGTTTGAGCAAAATTCTATGATGTCTTAGGCCCGGCGTCCACTGAAGGGACGGATCCTTCGTCATCTTTATGTGCAAACGTACACTAACGGCTATTATGCCGCGGTTTTCCAATTACGATGCGGCATCATTAAACATGCCGCAGCATTCCATCGCGACATCGTGCTCGCGTCCGGCTTTGCTTCAGATCTTCATCTCCTCAACCCGAACAGTCGCACTCGGCGTCCCGAAGGATGCAGAGGAATTCCGGAGGCGGCCGGCTCGGTATCCATAAAAAGGTCACCTAAGGCTCAATTTATATTGAGGCGGAACGGAATGGAAGCGAATTTTTGTAACGATATTGTACATAGCATAATGAACTTCATGGACAATTGTGTAACGTACAAACTAGATTCGAGCCCAAATCTTCCGTGTTATTCACGCGCATCTTCAAGATCGCTCGCGCATTCCGCGGAAGATTTTGGGTCGTATCTAGTTTGTACGTTACACTATTCACCGTAAAGTTCATTATGCTGTGTACAATAATATTTAATACGTTACAAAAATTCGCTTCCATTCCATTCCGTCGCAATATAAATTGAGCCTAAAATCCTTTGCCAAGGCAACCCAACTGTGGATCCGGGCCTTACATTTAATAGTATATCAAAATGATATAGAAGATTATAAGTTATAATCGTTGCACACATCATACAACGATAAGAAAATGTAATAGTGGTTCAAATTTCGAGTGTTTTACACATTTAAAAAAATTTAAACAAATTTCTCACACCTAGGGAGTTGAACATTACAACTAGCGATTTTACGTTTCTTTGTGTTTTACATTAACAATTTTACATTACTAGTCGGGACTATTCTGTTGATGATGATTGGATCTCGAAATAATTTGAGCAACCTGATTATTAGTCGGAACGAAAAGTGTAAATTATGGTTTTAATGATTTGTCGAGCTGATTGTAACTTGATCTGCATAGAGGAATCCATATTTTTTTCTCATACGATCATCAGTAACACCCAAATGGCTTCATATTTTTCCGAACCATGTTAATATACAACACCCTACAGATTGTGAAAATTTATTCTCCTATCGTTCTTCAGATTTTTTTAAAAGAGCACCTTAAAGTTTACGTTGAAATAGACATTAGTAAGAAAAAAAAAACATAAATCGATATGTTCCTAGTTACATTATTCCTTGCCAACGCATTGTGTTTTTAATTATTCTTTTTCTTATCATTATTTTGCATTTCTACTTTTACATCGGAGTTACGTCTAATATCCTAATGATGTCTTTGATTTTACAAGTGTTATAATTGGGTTATTCTTTGTGAACTTTAGCGGGCAACTTACTGTAAACAGCCG